TTTCGAAATAAAATTATAAGATTTTCTTATGAAGTAGACGTATGTATTTAATATTTCAGTATTAATAACTTTTCTATTTCATCCTTTTCTTTTTCTTTCCAAAATAATTGATTATTACCTAATAGATAATGAAAGGAAATGAACACATTAAGAGCTTGTTTGGTAACACTAAAAATTTAATTAAAATTGAAAATATAGTTGTTATTGGGTCCCATCCGTCTAATAAAAGTCAACAATAACGGTTAGTTTTTCAATTTTAATCCAATTTTAATCTCTACCAAACACACTCTAAGTATTACCTAGTATTAATGTAGCTTCTCATGAAAGCTATTTCTTTTTCTAGAAATTTGTGACAAATTAAAAAAAATAAAATTTCTTCCTTTTTCATTGAAGATGTAAAATATAATTTGATGTCAAATTTGATCACTTTTATAAAAATTATTAAAATTAGACACTTTTCACTTTTCAGTATGAAATTTGCCATTTTTGAAAATTCCTAGAACTGGAAAATACAATATTCAATACCAACTGTGCAAAGCCCAATACCACACACGCCTTACCCCACCCTCACACACGGTATTCCGAATCTTCCCGTACTACCACTCCAATTCAACCACTTAAAAACCTAAAAACTTACGTGTACCAATCAGATTACAGAAACAGATCGAAACTAGACGTCTTCTCGTCCACTAATTCTGAACCCCGCAAGTCGCTCCCCCGCCTCTAATTTAGATCTGTCGACACGTGGCAATACCTCCATCACTCCATTTATTTATTCACTAATAAATTATTAAAATATTCTTTTCATAGTTTTGTTTCTCACAAAGCTCAAATTCAAAGCCTCTTTTTCTATCAATCAAGAACCTTCGAGATTTACGACCTGTAACTCAGTAAAAAAGCATCAAATTTAGGGATTTTGTTGAATTTCCCAACTTTACGGTGGTTTCCTCGATTTTCCATTGAGATCTTTGGTAAAGTATGTTTATTGCAAATTTTTTTCTCCTTTTGAATTGATTTCTTTGTTTGAATTTGGATATATGTTTCAGATTAAGGCTTACACTGATTGCTGAGAAACTTAAAAAATAATGAAAAAGAATTCTGAAGATTATGTTTATTATTATTATTTTTTTAATGGTAGGACGGCATTAAATCAATTTTCCCCGAGTTAAATTGAAATTAATGTTTTGATTAATCGAGTTGAACCTTTCCTTATCCTACTTAGTAACTTTGTTGTCAGAGATTTAAGTTGGAATCTTATTATTTCTTCTTTCATTGCGGGCAAACATTAGATTTTCTTTCATGTAGTTTTATTTTGTCTTAATGATTAAGGCAAATATTCACAAGTTCGAACTGGATTTGTCCTTTCAGATTAAGCGAACCAAGTTATTATTATATTTTATCTAGTGGAAGGTTACTGAATTTTATATTGTTTTTCATGATGTTCCTCTGTTCTTCTCAGCAGCCGAATTTTCCAGGCTATTTTTTCCCCCATTTTTCGAGATAGTCTAAAGTTGCATGTAAAGTAATGAAACAGTGAAGAGGATTATTTTGTTTGGCTTCTAATGCGTCGTGGTTCGATTATTTGTTTCGTGCATTTGGAAAACAGAGGTGAAGGAAGGATTTGGATATTAAATATGAAGGAAGTTGCAAACAGTTCGAGTGCAGGCTGAAAGATTTGGAGGAATGTCTGACTTGCGCATGCTTGAGGTAGGGATTGTCCGTTGACTGATAGGACCACTACATGCCCATTTAGTTTCTGCCTTGAAAATTTCTTAACCTGTTAATAAAAATCTTGATATATTTTTTGATACATGTATTAGCTTGTTTTGTTTGATTGCATGTATTGCCTTGTTTGTTAGATTACTTTGTCCAAAAGCTTAATCTAGTAAGGAAACAAACATTTATTTATTTAGATTTTATCTTCAACACGTCTTCTCACACGCAGGTCTACACATTTTTCCATCAATGATTTGACACTTGCACAATTTTTATAAATGAGTGATGAAGAGACTAGACACGATGTTGCATACTTTGATGTCATATTAAATCATAAAGCTTGAAGCTTGAGGCATTGGTTAAAGGACATGGTTGTTTGTTTAATTTTTCCCGTCAACATCTTTTCATGGTTGTTTTTATTGTTGTGTCTAATGTTATTGTATAGACAATTTAGAGGGGAAAATAGATACATTGAACACATCGAAGTATGTACAAGATACAATAAATAAAGTCTTTGGTTCTCTTATTTACTTATTAGTAGAAGACCTTTTCTCGTGTTGGTTTGCAAGGAAGGGTAAAAAAGCTGGACGTAGAATGTAATAGTTTGTAGAGTTCGTCTCCATTGGGAATTGCATCAAATGTATGTCAAAAGTAGTGTTATATGTGATAATAGTTACTTAATATTTTAAAAAATAAAATGTGACTCATTGTTGTGCATTAGATGAGATATGAAGTGTATAGGATGCGTGAAACTACGATGACCATAATTGAATTAACCACGACACACAGACCCAGATTAAGAGAGTCTTCTGTTTTACCATCTGGGTTAATTTTAAGCAAGCTAGATTAATAAATATTTTGATGTGCAAAGAGTTCCACTATTTTCCTTATCGTCAACTTTTGAGGAATGAGGGTTCCTTGGCTGGAGGGGTTGAACTTAGTGTTGATCCCAGATATTACGATTTATCTTGTGATTCAACCATAATAAACTAAAAATACACAAAGTAAAAGCAGAACAGTAAAAGAACGCAAGGAATTTTTAGCCCAAGGGCCCAGAGGTTCGACGACCACTTCTAACGCCTAATCCCTCGTTGAGCATCCGTTAGGATATAGCTCAAATCACTAGAACAGCCCAAATCAGGCAAGAAAGAGTTACAGAACAACAAGAGTGTTCGAACTCAAGAATACAGACCAAAACCCTCAAATATTACAACACAATCTCACTAAGAGTTTAACCAAAACTCTCTCTATCTTTCTAAATGAAAATCACTCAGAGATTTCACACAATCTTTATAGATTAAAACATTAAGGAACGCAGTCGAGAGTAGACGAACTAGGGTTACAAAATTAACGAATCAATGAGCCAAAGAGTCAACCCTTCTATTTATATGGGATAGCCAACAGTCTTGATCCAATGGCCAGCATTTGTCCAAGTGTCAGCCATCCAATCAAACTCTGGAGCTTTCCATTAGCTGGGCCGGTTGGGTATTGGGCTTCAATATTTGGCTCACTTCTTAAATTGGGCTCATAAATGCAGCAAACCTTACATTTAGTTTGATCCTTACACGGGCACAAGAGAAATAAAATAAATTCAACCAAGGCAAGTAATAAAAACTCATATCATTAAAGTTATTCCATTAGTTAATACTTCATCCTCTATTCTTGAGGTTTATGTATATGGGGAAATAGTAATAACTTAGAATTCTTATCATTTTATTATGGCTTGAATGATTTAATATGATCTTAACATGGCAAAAAACTTACTGTCACCCACTCACCAATCATAGAAAATCTAGAGTTTGGGAGAAGTAGATGTTTTGTTCCCTCCCCCCCAAACCCAAAAAAAGGGAAAAAAAAATTAAAAATAAATAAATAAATTGAAGTGGTACAAGTCATGAGTCTTTCTGCATGTCTTACTTTTGTTATTGTGGATACAGCTATGCAGACATTTGTTGAACTTAGTCCTATAACTCCTATTAAGGAAACAATTCTTAACTTTTATACAATGACGAACTCCAAAATCTAAAAGCTCAAAATGCATTGAGAATTCTAGTTGCTCGAATAGCATTCTGAAGGCCCAGAGTGCATCGCATTTCTTATTGCAACCATTAGTGACTAATGGAGAATGAAATGATATGTAGGTGTTTAAGTTCAAACAATCAAGCGTTCTAAGAAAATATTCTAGCAAAGCCAAGATCCTTTATCTCAAAATCCTTAGTTATAGTTTTCTCAAGTTCTAAATTTCGGCCTCATTGTTTTCAGTTAGGGTTAAGTCATTCACACATGCAATTAGGATAGTATCTAAGCCTGAAGTTTAATGTAATGAATTACTAAATATGTTAAACCAGGTTTTGGGTGACTGTTATAGACCATACAAAGTTCTTCTAAGTTTGCAAAACTCTCTCTACCATAAGAATCTTGAAAACCTAACTGCAATAACATATATATCCTCTTCTAGCTTTCTATTTAGGAAATTATTTTTCATATCAAACTACTAAATAGGCAAATCCAAATTAGTGCAAGGGAAATGAATACTCTTAATATATTTGTTAATTGGTTTGGGAGAATAATTGATTTCACATTAATTCATAAATGGGTTAATCATATATATACATACAGAGGATATTTTTCGTTAGGAAATAATCCTATCTAATTAGGAAAAAGTTCTAGACTTATGCACCTACCATATATACATATGTTGTATATGTAAAGATTAAATTTAAGCCTAAATTAATGCATACAACTTAGAACACTACCCTTCGAGCTGGAGCATAGATATCAATCATGTCCAGCTTATTACAAATATAGTTTACTCGATTTCTAGCTAAGGTTTTAGTGAACACATCAGCTAGTTGATCCCTGTCTTGACATGCTTAGACAAAATCAATCCTTGATGTGATTTTCATCAACAAAATGACAGTCTGTCTCTATATACTTTTGTTTTCTCATGAAATACATGATTAGTGCCAATGTGAATAGCTGCTTGATTATCACACCACAAGCTCATAGAGTGGGGCTTACTAATGCTAATCTCCCTAAGTGATGTAGCCACATAAGTTCACAAGTTACTAGTGCTATAGCCTGATATTTAGATTCCGCACTTGATTGAGCTACAACACTTTGTTTCTTCCTTTTCCAAGAGACTAGATTACCCTCAACGAAAACACAATAACCTATAATAGAGCGTTCGTCCACAGAGAACCTGCCCAATTAGCATCTGAGAAACCCTCAATCCTACCATGACCATGGTCTTTATATAGAATTCCACTATCTGGAGCTCCTTTGAGATATTTTAATATATGAATTATAGTATCCCAATGTGAAGTTCTAAGAGATGACATAAACTGACTAACAACACAACACTTACTGGAAATGCAATGTCTAGACGGGTAATTGTAAGATAGTTCAACTTTCTCACTACCCTCCAGTATTTGTGTGCATCAATAAACACATCTCCATATTCAGCTTTGAGTTTCACATTTGGTATCATGGGGGCATTATTAGGTTCAGTTAAACCTGTCTCAGTAGGTCTAGAACATCAGATCATAAATATGCGATACATCCTGTTTACTAACATACAAAAATTCTAGATAATCCCACAATTCTTTTACAGTATCACAATGATTATTGACATCGTATGCTGTCGGGTCAAGGGTATTTTGAATCTGATTAAAGAGTTTATCATTCTTCATTGACCCTTTTTTTCGAATCCAGATTGTGGAGGTGGATAATCAGTCAAATGATCGTCCAAATCCAAACTTAACACATATCAATTCTCTTCGATTGAGCATAATTCCTGATGTCCATCAACTTTCTTTCAGTGATTTTTGAGAATGGTAGCCCAAATAAGTAGCAACTTCTGCAAAACTTAAAGTACCAAATATAAAGTAGCCCAAAAATATTCAAGTTCAAAGGAAAGCAGCCCAAATAAATAAATAATGAGGAAATTATGAAAGTTGAAAAGAAAACAGCCCAAATAAACAGGATATAGAAGCCCAAGAGTCCAAACAATGTCCCTGTACAACAAACCCAATCAAAAATCAACTCAAGACTAGTGATTCTGAATCTGCACAGAGAACCCAATCAACCACAGTCGACGACTGCACGCCCAACCCACTTCAACCGACGACCGCAATTTCGCCACTCACGATGCAATTGGCCACCACATACCCTAAATATTTGTTGCAGAGCAAATAAACTTGCTACCCAAAGCCTCTAGCACCAATATAAAACTCTCCAAGAGTTGAAGACTGCTGACGCCTACTAGATGTCACAGCCCTACCTCGCCAACTGAAAAATCAAGAAGCCTGACACACCAAACAGAGAAAACAAATAAAATAAATTGAGAGGTTTGCTCTGATACCATGTTAATTGATATGAGAGATTGATTTCACATTAATTAATAAACGGGTTACACATATATATACATATAGAAGATATTTCTCATTAGGAAACAATCCTATCTAATTAGGAAATAATTCTATACTTATGCACCCACCATATATACCCGTTGTATATGTAAAGATTAAATTTAAGCCTAAATTAATGCATACTCATAACAATATTCTTCTTTGCTACCAGAGCAAAGGTTTTTTTGATAATCTAGCTCATAGGTTTGAGTGTGAACTTCGAAACAAGTTTTGTTTTATGCTTGTATATGATCTATTGGTTTTATATTTTGCTATGAATACCCATTTATAACCAACTTCCACCTTTCCATTTGACAATTTTACCAATTTTAAGATTCCATTCTTTTCAGAGCTCTTATTTCTTCCAAGACGCTTTCAATTTGAAACATTATAGCTTCTTACACATTTTTGAAATCTCTATACTCGAAAAATAATAAGTAAAGGCTTAAAAAAGAGATAAATGATGTTAACATATAATCTTAAAAAATGGGCGAAGAGTGTAGAACGAGTTTCCTTTCTGTTTGCAATTGGTAAGTCAGAGTTTTTGATATTTTTGGATTTAGGTTTACCCGTGTTTTCCGCTTCTTGACCACCCAGGTAGAACTTACAACCTTGTTGTAGTGAATGTTTTGACTATAAAATATTTCCATTTTTTCTTGCTGCTAACGAAATTGTTATTTTCATTTCCATAAGCATGTTTAAAAAATGGTAAAACGAGTAAAGTAAAACAAGATTTTGTTTGTATATTGTTGACTAGAATCGATGTGAATTTTTCTTTCAATATTCAACTAAACAAAACTTATCTTCCTTTTAATTACGCCTCCTGAATAGAGAAGTTTAAAGGGGAAACGATGTATTTTTGAAAAAACAAAGTGACATCAAAGCTTACAAACAACTTTCTTGATGCGGGATCATACATGTTAGTTAGTTTCTAGTAGGAGAATAGTGAAAAATAATAGATAAACAATATATTCTTTAGCCTTTGGTTCTAACTTATTTCAAGATGGGTCATGTTAATGAACAACATTATACAACCAAACACTTCAACTGGAACAGTGCTAAACAATTTTGTGTGAGGGTATTTGTTAATATAGTGTCTAATAATTGAGTCTTAAAGTCTAGATAGTTGGAATCTGATTAATTTAATAAGAAGATGTTAGACAAGTTTTTCTCTAGAATATTTGAGGCACAATTAGTAAACGTTAAAATTTATTCTTGTAGTTAATTTACTGTAAGAGCGTCAACAAGGTCATTTTATTGAGGCCAATCAACACAAGACACAAGACTATTGATGAATATCTAGATAAAAATATTCCCTTCATTATCCATCTTTAAAATTCGAATCTTTGTGCTAAATTGATTTTAATCATGGATTTTTTTTTTTGAAATTTTCATGCAACTTTAAAATTTTATCAAGGACATACTCTATTGTGTTCATTTACAATGAACCATTTTGCACGAGGAATGTTAGAAACCCTTACCCGCCCAACATTATAGTAGATAAATGGGGTAGTGTTCTTGATACGAATGAAATGAAAAACAAGCATGATGATGCTTTGCTTGCTTGCACACTTCACAATGAGATGTTGAAGGAAGTTTATTTTTGAATCATGGTAACAATTTATGGATTTTTTTTATGATATCATGTTGAATTTCTTGATCTAAAGTTTTAAGTTGTTAAAATTTTGTTTTCAACATTTCTCCCCTCGTGGAGATGGGGTTCAAATTTTCCATGAAAGCCTAACATGCACACACTCTCATTAAATGGGTAGGTGGTTGCAAGACTTGAACTTAAGATCTTTATTGGCTTTGATACACGTAGAGTTATTTTTGGGGAAAAACTCTCAATATTATTAAGAGAAAATGTGTACTTGGCCTAATATTTATGCACAATTTCAAGCATAAAGAACGTACACAATTTGTTAAATAGCAAAGGGATAATATTCTACAAAATAGGTGTTAATAAATCCATTATCTAACGATGCAATATTCTAGGAGAACAAGTTAAAACACCTTAAAAAATAAAAAATATAGAGAAACAAACTTCTAGAATTAAAGGAGATACTTATATTGGACAAAAACATCTGTCTTGAAGGTAGGAAATGAAAATTTATATGAACTCTTTTCCTCGAGGTTTATTCTGTGCATCGTACCATCACGTATTGTCCACTGGGGATTGGATCCCTATTGGGACTAGCATTTAACTTTAGTTCCTCTCTTAAGGGGGCGGTCTTGCATTTAGTGGTTAGGGACATGAAAGAAAAACCAAGTTGGGGTTCAACTCCCAGTGGGCAGTACATAAGGTGCTGATGCACAGAATAACCCTCAAGCGAAAGGGCTTGTAGGAAAGAGTCCATGGTTGTTACATGTTTGATATGTTCTTAGCAGCTACATAAGTTTGAAATGAACTGTGTTTATAGGAAATTCCATCAAGGTTGAGCCACATCATCTTCCAACCCTACTTTGTGTGCTGAGTGCTAACTAAGCTGCCGAGTGTGCACATTCTGATAGTAAATGACGGGAATTGATGGGAGTGAAATAATATTTAAGATTTTTTGTTTTTTTAACCTTTTTGTGAATTAGAGGATCAGATTGTGACTAATTGATGTTGGGATATTAAAGTGAAACTACCAATGGAAATTGGTTTGACAGATTTATCAAGCATAGTTTGTTCCTAAAAATGGTCTGTAAAATGGTGCATGTTTATACATATATATTTATATATGTATGTATCAGCTATTGACGATCATCATTCTTCTTAATAAAAAAAAAAAAAGGAACTGAAGGTTATTGCAACAGCAACATTTTCACTGCGTTTATCTCCTCCTTCAATCCAGAAGCTGATTTTTGGGACTTTGTCATGCAATCTAAATTTGGTCTGTGTTCTAAATTCAGTTATTCTGATTCTAAGCAAAACAATCCTTTTATATTATTAGCTATTAGATTGAAAATTTTAATTTATAGAAGTTTATATCTCATAATTTTGAATGCTACACATGTGCAAGTTCATTTTCCAAGTGAAATATGAAGTATTGTATTTTATTGTAACTGACAAATTTTACATGGAGCTGAGCAATAATGCCATTCAATAATTAGGTTGTCATATAAGACTAAGCCTCCATTTGGGAAGAATCTATAAACGGTTTAATTCATAGATAGAATGAAACGAATGGTGGATAACTGGAGAGTAATTGTGGGTCAGTTGGAATATGTGATTTAAATGAAGTTTGATTATTGGAGGCTAAATATACATTCCACACTCCATGGTGCAATGGTGAGTCCATATTCTTGTAATGTTCATCAAGCAAAATAGTTCTTCACTTGAGTATGTGACCCTCTCCTTATCTTAGTTTTCTCCGTTATTCTATTAGCTAAGTTTACATAATAAAGATTATTGAAGGACAAAAGATTAAATATATTATAAAAACTCGGTTGAGCATCTACACTGATTTTTATGCTGGAAGAAGACTCTTTGAGATAATATGATTAATTTGAAGGTATTAAGAAAGTAGTTTGTAGCCAAGCGAACACAAGACATATAGATGATTTTTTTAAGGCACGAATTAATTTTCACATCTCGTAGTTTAGAGCTAGCATTTACTGTTTATTTTTCAAGTATGCACAACAAGTTTTAAATGTTGTAAAAACTCATTTGTTTATCTGAGTTCACATAGAAAGGGAAAAACAAGGAATTTTATTTATTTCCTTTCTGTCCCAATTTATTTATTTTTAAGAAAGTGAAAACTTTATACTTATTAGGTGTTGTAACTAATAATTTTTTATTTATTGTAGCATTTATTGCATAATAATATAAGAAATGCTTTATCTGACTTGGATTGTTTTGTATTTATTACTTCATCGATCTGCATTAGATTATCCTTCTAAGCTTCCATGTTCCTTCTTCTGACCACACCATTCTCAACTCATTCTATGCTTACATTCATTCCCAAGCTTGGTAGAAAAGGATCACTCTGCCGACACTAGTAACATCAATAGTGTTTTGCAGTTTAGTCAACTGAAATGACTGGGAGCTCTATCATTATACTTAGCCTTCTGTGAACAGAAACAATTTAGCTGAGATTATTTATTGAACCCGCAGTATTTTAATCTTTACTGGATCAATTTTACGAAAAATAATGCTTTTGTATTCTAGTATGAAATTTGTTAACTGTAAAAGAAAAAAAGAGTTAACTGCTATTTATCTTGTTCTCTGTCCTGCTTGCAGTAAGTAGTTGTTTTGAGTTCTTTGTTTAGTCTTGAATAGAAATGATTTTCAGTTATCCATTCAAATATGAACGATGTAAGGGCATCAGTAAAATTGTCTATCGTCAACAATGGGAGAAACATACAGATTACACCCAAGTGCCAGATGTTATTTAAAAAGATGATTGATTTGTACCATTACCTAAGTAGGAATACCTGATCTCCATCTTCGTTAAATTGGTGGTTGGACTCTCCATATGCTTTCCAGTTTCCAATAAGCTTGTGCTGTCTTCGTTTATAAATTCTGGCTATTCACTAGTTGTTGTATTTACAGTCTTATAGTTTTGTTTTAGTCATCATATGGAAGTATTCTCTGCAGTTATTACCACTAAATTTTTTTAACTGTTGCTACAGCTTGAAGATATAGTTTGGGATGATTTTTGCCAGAGTGATGATCATATAGTGCCCCATCCTGGTGACGAACAGGCCGATGAAAATCCCTTTCAAGATAGTAGGCTGAAGAGACCTCGCCTGGAAGTAACTGGTATTTCAAATAATTCTGGAGATAGATCTGCCACTACAAATATTGGCCAGGATAAAGATCATGGAGACTTTTCAAATTTAAGTAACCAAAGGAACACAATGTTGGAAAATGATTCATCCATCACACCCAATGCTGTCTTCCTTTCTTCCTCTGATAGTGACTTAGTCAAAGAAGTAGCATCTGAAAATGCCAAAACATCAGGTCATGGCTTCAAAAGCAATAATACAGACACTAGTGGTAGTGAGTTTGGTGGAGATGATCTTGTTCTTAATGACAAAAGCACTGTGGTTGATGGCAACTCTTACAGTTATACACTTGGTGACATTTCTCAAACAGACAATGATCTCAATTTCTTTGACAGTAATCCTGAGGACAAAGATTCCAGTGATTTCTTGTATTGCGGTTTGCCTGAAATTGGAAATTTTGAGGATGTTGACAGGATATTTAGGTAACTACGCACCATCTCTCAACGGAGTTTATATACTTTTTGCATTGTTATTATATAACTAATTAACTATATTCTCAATTGTGGCATTTCTTGCTGAAGTTGTGACTCGACATTTGCACTTGGTGCTGGTAACGAAGATGAATTGTGTTGGTTTTCATCACCAGATGCTCTAGGAGGGTCTGAAGATGTGCCAAAATCTGATTTTAAGTTTCCATGTTCCCAGTCAAATGCATTGAAAAATACATCAGAGAAACATGACTTCTTGATGCAAAATGCTAGCTATTCTGTGAACGATTCTGCATTTAGAAGTGGAGCGGTTAGACACAAAGGTGGTTCTTGGCCCTCAGAGATTGATGAATCTGTTAAGCATCTGGCTTTTGTGAATGGACCTTCTAGCTCGGATAGCAAAGAAAAATTTATGCCTAAAGGACAGGTCAGTGCATGCTACTGTTAATTGAAATAACGCTTTTATCCTTTTTAAAGAAATTTAACTGAGAAACTCTTAATTAAGTTGGAATCAAAATTCAGCAATGTGAGGTGATTGTTTTGCCGTGAGTAGGACTCACTGGTATAGGTCACCACAAGATTTCAACTAAAAACCCTTCCAAAACTGGCACTGGTGGAATGGTATGCAAAACTTGATGGATTATTACCTCTGAAGGGACTCAATATCCTTTAGCATTTCACATGCTTATTTCTGAGTCCTGGTTGTAAGTTAGTAATTGGTTAAAATTTGTTAATTTTGGGGACAGTATTTTTTCCCGTAAAGTAAGCACCTCAAGGGATGATATTTGGAGGCACGTGTATTAAACCTCTATGTAGTCTAAATGTAGTCTAAATATGCATGCCAAAAGTTCAAGATGGTCTAGCACTATAAATATTAGTGAAACAGTAATAATGGATTTGATAACTTGGCAGGTCCATGAGAATAAAAAGCAGTCAAAACACCGAAACCAGTCTGGTGGAAAAAGAAAAGAACATTACTATGGAAATGGCAGTTCTTTTAATTATAATAGTAACATGCCAAATGAAGTCATGCAGCTTGATTTGGGAGCCACGTCTAATCGAAGTTTCACATCTGCGGGTATTCAACAGCAACAGCAATCACTGGATCCAGATTCCTCTGGACACCTACAGAATACTGTTCCTTTCGTGCATTCTGATAATAGTCACCTATCAGATCAGACTTCAGTGCATCCAACTGTATCGGCTATAAAATCTGAGAATAATTATTTAACACCTCTTTCTCAAAGGAAGTTATCCTATGCATCCAGTCTAGTGCAATCGGTGGAGAATCCTCATGATCCTTCTTCTGTTTCAGTAAAATCGCAAGTACGTCTTTCTGGAGATAAATTTGAAAATCGCAGTGTTGTCAGCATGGTTAAACCAGGAGAATTAGGTTCCTCAAATGTACTGGAGGGATCATCCATGAGTTCAGGTTTGGATGATGTGTCGCAAGAAGCAGCTAGCTTTCGGCATCTTCAGCTTGTCTTGGAACAGGTATAATGTTCTTCCCAAGATCTTATGTATGTTCTTCGATTTATTTCTTTACAAATGTATCTACAGACATAACTTGATCCTGAGAATCATAATTTATTTCTCCCATTTTATGCTGACAAAAGAATGAGCTATATGTGAGTATTGTGATGGTTGCAAAGAGATTCAACCCAGATTTTTTTCCCTTCAGGATTCTCAATAAAAAGTTTGAACTCTTAGAATGCATGGCTATGTGTGAGCAGCTTCTTTTGTGTGCATTTTCGAGGCAATGTAGACACTACAAGAACTATTAAATGTTCATGTATAGTCCTAAGGTTTTCCTCCTCCTTTTTTTCCTCCTTTTTTTAAAATAAAAAAGCAAAACACCAACTCAGCCTCGATGGATTTTCAAGCTCCACTAGGGAAGGCTGATGGGGGTTTGGATTCCCCGATCGTAAATAAATGAAATCAAACTCATGAGAATAAGAGGAAGGGTTGCAAGTTCTAACAAAGTTAGTATGAGCAGTTTTACTTTCCTGAATACAAAGAGAACTTGAAATACTCGCTCAGCAGATGAGAGCAATTTTATCTTCTGTGGAGAAGATCATGACTCTCTCCAAGTGCACATAACTGCCGCATCGCTGAAATACATCAAGTGACATGCTAATTAAATTCAAATAAAAGTTTAATGGTATGAACAGTTACAGGTCAGGTTGATTAAAATGACAAGGAAAATGCGTTGAGATAGTTTTTAGAATTTCATAATGTTTGTGTTCTTACATACTGTGAAAGCAGTGATTTTACAGTGTTTATGCCCTCTTACATATATATGACTGCCTTGAAAATGATTGTGGTTACCGTCTTTGGTTTAGTTGGACTTGAGGACAAAGCTATGCATAAGGGATAGTCTTTACCGATTGGCTTGGAGTGCCGAACAAAGACATAACCATGCAAACCCCAGTAATAGTTGGGGAGATGACAGAGATGCCAATGGAGCACTGATGGCTGAAGGAACAAACAAGTATGTCATTTCATCGATTTCATTGTTAACTGAATTTGTTTTTGTTTCCGTTGTTTAAGATGAAATACCGTTCTAAGACCTTGGTAATGTTACACAGTGCGTGAGTTTCAAGTGAGCTAGATGGGGAAACCATTATTTCTGCTGAATGGACTACTGTTGTAGACTAATGTAAATAAATAAACGGGTTCTTTCTCTAACACTTAAAATTTTTATATTAGATGGTTTAATAGTTTAGGAACCAAGTGTTAGTGCCACCAATTTATCAAAATTGTGCACTTATTGTGCCTTGTTATATGAAAATGAGTCCAACCTACACGAGTGGACGTTAAATTTAAATAACGAAACGTGTTCTCTCTTTAACAGTTTAGATAAGGTGCTTGAACAACCACTGAGAAGCCCTTTGTTTTCTAGACGGGATTCCTCAACTTCTTTTGACCTCATCTGTTGACTTCTCTCTTAGGTCCGCTGAATTTATGGATATGGAAACCGATACGAATCCTGTAGATCGCTCGGTTGCGCACTTGCTGTTCCACAGGCCCTCAGACTTGTCCGTGAAACCTGCCCCTGATTCATTGGCTTTCAAGTCACCTAGCACGGTAAGGTTTTCGAAGCACGCAAATTGATCCCAAAGCTGTACATGATCAACCTTTTCAATTTCTTGACGGAACTTAGTTAGCCTATATATCATGTATTGATGTCTCTTGAACAGGTTCATGGATCTATAAATAGCCCCCATGTAGTGCCTCAGACTGTACTTAACCATGAAGAAAGCGCTGTTGAAACAGAGAAAAAAGGCTGATTGCCGACCACACCTAAGAAACAGCTTTAGCGAAATATATGATGCCCCTTTGAAAACACCTTGTTCATGATTATGTATAAAATATTCAAGCCACTCATCATAGATACCTAATTTGTTACGTTACTCTAATATTGTATCCTCGAGAGTATAGTTTGCAATCTATCACGGTGCGAATCGTTGTATTAGTTTCTGCTTAAGCTATTTAACTTCCCACATTTAACTGATTTCCAGTGACCTCCAACCTCTGGGATGCAAATGAACCAGTTGCTTGATGGTGAACAAGGTATCTCGCTCCCTCCCCCCCTCTTCTCATTTTTGCTCTTGTTTGATTTTGATTGTATAAGAAATGATTTTGTGAAAAGTGATTTCTTTGGAGAGTGGTTAAAAAGTAGGGAAAGTTATTGGTCCAAGTGCAAAATTGGAGAATATATGATTGAAAAAGAGTGAGAAAAAGTGACAAATCAAAATCAAACAAGAATGATGTCTTTCAGTGTAACTTTTTAAACTTGGATAACTCGATGATGTTCAAATGAGTAATATTAAGTTGTATTGAAAATTACGCATTTGCTCATATGCAATACGTCTTTTTGCGCATATTGAGGTATGCATATTTGGCGCATTTTTAGGTACATCTATTTTTTCACGATAGACTCTTGAAAAAATATTGATTTTGTTTTTGCACTTAGGTAGCGCTTTGTGTACATATCTATGGCCATATAGTATAAAATATAAATATACTTCCGGTCGTCATGCTAGTATATACCCATCTCAATGGTAGATAGTCTTGTATGGCTTATTATGCCAATTTTTTTTTCCATTGGTTTTTATTTCTAATTCAACCAGGCTATGACATTGATTTGTTTTTGCTTTACAATTCAAACTGATTTACCGAACTCGACTGGTTTGGGTTGGTTTTTGTAATAAAGGTTGGGTTCGGGTTTGATAGTAAAATTTAGTTTGGGTTAGTTACCAAAAAATTTCAGTCATCTTTCTTCTTGCTTCTCAACATCTACTCCAACCAACCAATCACTGTTTCCGTTTTCTACTAATACATGAAATCGATGATTGTCTTCGCTTCAAGCTCCTTTCTGTCAGAATTCAAAAATCACTGACATCATCGAATGGGACAATGGTCCTCCATAGTCCTTTACTTTTCTCAAAGTTCGTCGCTTATGCTGCGAATGGCTACATTGAAATATTTTGAGGAGATTTTACTTGAAGTCAACCCTACAATTAGGTTTCTTTTGATGCTTGCAATTATGTCTTCTAGTATCATAGTGTTTATTATGGTGGTGATGTTGCAATTGGGGTACTTGATTTTCAAGGGCAAAGATGAGGCGGTGGCGGAGGAGGAGGAGGAGCATTCATGTGGATGTTTTTGAATCTTGGAAAGTCAAAAGTCGATCGGCCAATTCAAACCAAATTTATTCAAAGTTGATTGGTTTGGGTTGGGTTTCAATCCTGGATAGGTTGGTTTGGTTTAATTTTTCACCAAATCAAACATGTTGGGTTAGGTTTGGGTTGGGTCCAAAATCGAACCAACCCAACACGTCCTATTTTTTGGTTAGTAATTTCTTATTTTAAATTATAGATGGACTTGGAATTCCTGATAACTAACTGAAGACATGACATTATGTAATACTATACATTCTTTGGGTCAAACTTGATTAAAATGATACGTGGCCACTGTTTAGTGGACATTTAAATTAGATTTTTAGTAAATTTTAATAAAAGTTGATAAAATGTGATTGAAAAGTTGTGGTCCTATAAAATTTGTGATTAAAATTACTTATTGATTTTGACTGATTAAACGGGGCTTAATGTATTAGAATAATATATAATGTTTATTAATTGAGCGATTTATTAGTTTATACGTGTGATTGAGGAAAATAACATTCCTTTGAAATTTAAAATATTTGAAATTACTTTACAGTTTCTATATTTAGAATATGTTGGAAGTTATAATTACTTGAGAAATACATCAAAACACAGACAAATTAGTACATGGATAGGATACTAGTGGTGTGGCATGCATTATATTATTAATGAGAAAGCCTCCTGATTCTTTCCCATTTGTCAATTTTATTTATTTTTTATTTTTAAATTCCCCATTCGCATTCTTTGGCTTTTCGAGTGTGAGATTTCGCAAAACGGACACGAATATTAACTTTGGTTGTATATATAACTGTGAAAAGACTAAAAGTAGTGGTGGTATGAAGTATATTGTCACGTCTTTCCTCCAATGAATGTTGCTACTTGTACATAAAGAAAAAACAAAAATTTGTACATAAGCTGTCGCCGAAAATGACGTGAAGGGAAAACATCAGACGGAAAAATTAATTGTATTTTAAATTGGCAAATGATAGAGTATCATGAGATATTATTTAATCCATTATATAAGTTTTGATGTACATATAGCAAGATCTTTCTCGAACTGGGCTGATCGCACACATTTAAATTGGAAAAAGCTAGACTAGATAAGGGCAAGACGAACAATAACATCTCTTCTCTAACTGAAGTTACCAGTTTATTGACTTGTGAATGAGAGCCACCTTTGTGGTGCTATAATTATTAATAAATTTTAACAGCAGTACTTGAAGAAGTTTAAGACAAATAGAAATTGAGAAAATATCAGGACTTACTGGGAACATTCATACAGAAGTTGTCAGCATGCTACACATACCCTAAAAAAGGAAGAAAGATTGAAAGAGAAAAAAATGGAAGCAGTAGCACACCCAGCGTTGGAGCATTCTACGGGATCTCATGCTTTGAAAACGTTGCAATATTGATTCATTCTCAATTTCTCCAAAAATCTTTTTCTCCATGTACACCACCAAATTGCAATACAACTTACTCTGTAACCGTGATCTTATGCCGGGACTTCTTTGTGTTATTTAATAATTCTTGTGCTCTACTAGAATCAATGATGGGACTAGATGCACATCTAGACAAAGAAGAATTAGGTATGGACTTTCGTTTCGATTGAAAAAATCGTTCCATAATCTGCAAAATGCTTCAATTTATTTTTCAATAAAAATTGATTAAAAAACAGTATACACATGGTTTAATTGAGCCCAACATCTTCTCCATTAATATTTTCACTTATCCCTAATTTCCTAAAAATCTAAATTCTCAAATCATAATTCACAAATCAAAATTATAACTCATAAGTCATAACTTATAGTCTCAGACTCTCAGACAATAATATAATATAAAATTTCATTTCTTATCCTTCATAAATCACAAATTCACAAAATATCCAATTTGTCATTATCATTAATGCAAATCAGATTCATAGTCGACGTAAATATTCTCAAATTCACAAATTTTCAATTTTCATAAACCTTAACAGTCAGCAACGAAATTCCCAATATTCTTAGATTCTTGAATTCATAAAATCTCCAAGTTTCAAATTTACAAAAATCAAAATCTAAAGACTACAGTCTACAGGCTCAATTCACAAATCACAAACACATTCTTAAGCCCTAAACATAATTTATGAAACATAAATAACAAATCAAGCAAATTAACTACAGGAACAAAAACAAAGAGAGAGAGAGAGAGAGCAAACTCACTGTGAAGCGTGAAAGTAGGCAGCGTTGCAGTAAAATTGGGACTTGGGAGCCTCCCTGGGGGCTGGGTCTGGCCGGGATCGCGAGACCGAGACAAAGACGGAGAGTAGGGCACAACCACACAGGAACAGACAACAAAGCACAGCGGCACAGGCATGGCCAACAGTATTCGCCGATCGTCTCCCTCCTCTACGTTTTGATTGTTACTTGTTGGGTTTCAATTTTTGAATTGGGGATTTGGAATGGATTTGGTTTTGATTGTGGCAAATGGATTGCAAATTGGCCCAATGCATTGGGCCTTACTGTTTAAAAAAAGGGCCCAAACCCAAACACTGAAAGTTTGAAACAAAATAACAAAGGGGAAAAAAAAAATTTCACCGGTGTCTATTGCCTTCTTCATTCTTCCTGGCGGACCCAGTAGGGCGGCCACGGGGGTGGCCGGGTGCTGGGTCTGCCCCTGGGAAGAACCCGGGTATCGCCATTTCCTTCACTTCCTTTGAGAAGGGAAGGTTAGAGCTGGGAAGCAGTTCAGGAACCATGTCCTCGATCAAATAGTAAGGAATGGTCCTTTCGAGGGTGGTTGAGTTGATAGAGTAGGTGAACGCAGAGATCAAATGTCATGAATTTGAATCCCCTGCCAACACTTCCTTGATGGAGCCCATCGCACTGAACTTTCCTAGTACAGTTTACCTCTTCTGTGTGGTTTGCAGAGTAACACATGGAGCGGGGTTTACCTAGTGCGCATTCACAGTGGTCGGGCCTCTGCCCTTTCGGGGTGGTAGGAGCTCCGCGGCGGGTAGCAGCTGCGGGTTCCTATGTCAACAAAAAAAATAATAAGGAATGGAAATTTAGCTTGATTTTCGAAGTTGATAAGTATGATTTCAGCGAGTAAATGGAATATGTTATATAAAGTATGATGCTTGGTCTTGAGTTGATACTTTCTTTCATAATCAAGGTCTATTCATTTTCGTTTCACGTGACATAATACTAATGCCTAAATTACTTGGATGAGATTTCACTAGCCCTCCTCTCTGATATGATATCATTTTATCTCCAGGCATGTTCACAGTTGTTGGAATAGTGGGTTCATTCATTTCCCATTGTTAGAAGGTGTTATAATTTGAGGCTTCAATCAACCAATTCCGGAGCTTAGTTCACCAACCAATCAACACCACAATGAACAACCGAATCTCCCAACAACCGACCACCCAAAAACGGTTGCTCCAAGGTGCCGCAAAGGCTGAGTGTGAGTGATCTTTGGCAGCCCTAACTAGCCACTAAGGCTAAGAGAAGAAGGAGGAGAAGATAGCACAAAGCAAGAGGAAGCACAAAGTAAAACTCTCTTTTCCCTCCCAAACTCACGGCTCCAAGAATTCACACACTAGGGCAAGATAACACAAACCGACCCAATTATAAGCCAACCAAAAT